GTACCCCCTCCGGTTCTCAGTGGGGGTGGGAGAGGGGGTGCGGCGTTCTCGAAACGCCGTACCCCCGCTCCCACCCCCACCCGGCAACCGAAGGGGGTACGGCGTTTTCAAAACGCCGTACCCCCTCGGCCCTGTACGTGAACAGGGTCGAGGGGGTACGGCGTTCTCAAAACGGCGTACCCGCTCCGGTTCTCGGTGGGGGGTGGGAGCGGGGGTACGACGTTCTCGAAACGCCGTACCTCCGCTCCTTTCGCCTCCTGGCAACCGAAGGGGGTACGGCATTTTGAAAACGCCGTACCCCCTCTGCCCTGTTTGTGAACAGGGTCGAGGGGGTACGACGTTTCGGAAACGCCGTACCCCCTCCGGTTCTCGGTGGGGGTGGGAGCGGAGGTACGGCGTTCTCGAAACACCGTGCCCCCTCCAGTTCTCGGAGAGGATAGGGAGGTGGGGCGCATGGCGTTCCCAGAACACCGTAGCCCGGCCTCGTAGGTGGACAAGGCCGACGGGTGCGGCGCTTCGAAACGCCGTGCCCCCTCGGCCTTGCTTCGCAGAACCGGACGGGGTAGGGCGTTTTCATAACGCCCTATACCAAATGACGCTCGAATGCGTCGGCCACTAACGTAAGGCGATGGTGGAAGGTTTGAAATCTGAATGCGATCCGTTCCTTCGTTTGGAATGTGCCTGCCATTAGGAGGAGCATCTGCTGTCCCAGAAAAGAGAGTCTACAACACGTGCACAATCTATAGAGATAGGGAGTGGGCCCTTGATTGGGTGGGGGGGCTACACGAGGCGGGATGTGGGGCCGCTGTGTTTCTGAAGAATGCCTCGGGTGACGACTGGTTCTGTGTTGGAGGGATTATTAAATCCGAGGATGAGAAGGTGGACAGGCACGGACGAAAGTTCAGGAGGTTTTTCCTCACAACGGTGTTCGACGAACAAGGAGTGGACCATGCGAAGGCCGACCATAAAATCAGCCTTGATTACAATCTGTTCAAGGGGTATGGCGGTAAGGCTATTACCATGAAAGCCTTCGATGTGTCCCCGAAAGAAGACGGGAGTGTGTTGACGATGCTTGGCCCCATTAAATTCCTCGCCAAAACGAACGGCTACAGGAGATCCGGAAACAGTCCCACGGTTGAGGCCGGGCATCGTATGTCCTCGACATTCGTGCCTTTCGACACGCCGGACGAGGATCTTCCCGGTATAGCAATGACAGAGAGACAGAGGACGCCACATAGTTTTCCAACGCAGCAGACGTCAGCGACTGGGAGCCGGCGCCACAACAAACAGAGCCAGCCGCGTTGTCCACCAGGCGAGGATGAGCATGGTCCTCCTGTGGGTTCATCCCGCCAGATGGAGTATGCTGGACCGTCTCAACCGTCCAGTGGCAAGACCAAGGCACCCCTGTCATACATACAAAAGGAAGGCCCTGACAACTCGTCCCTCTCCCAGTTGCCAGAAGGACGAAGGTGGTGCGTCCAGGAAGGCCGCGCTGCGGGAGATAAGCGAAGGATCGGACGAGGAAACGGAGGACGATTCTAGGATATGTGTTGATTGACATCCACAGGGTAATCATGCCGTTGACGATGACGAATGTGGTGTCGATGAGGACGACGTCGAAGAAGAGAACAGCGAGAGGGAGAGAGAGAGAGAGGATGGTGAGGAATCTATGCACGACTGCGAGGGTGGGGAGTCTCAACAATACTATGAGGAGGACGACGGGGGCGATGGAGAAAACGATCATGCCTATCTTGTAGGTGATGAGGATGGACGGCAAGAGCGGTCGGAGGCCACTCCCCAAAAATGGAAGCGACAGTCTTCAACAAGTCCAACGGCGGAGGCCGATAAACGCGCTGCGAAGAAACTCACTGTCGCTGCATCTCGACAGGCGCTCAAAACTTCTCAAGAGGCGATCGCTGAAAGAGTGAAGAAACAAAAAGGGTCCGCGTCGACAAGGGCGACAAAAGCGGAGAAACGTCCACCGAAAAGAAAGCAGATGATGGATGAGGGTGACTCTGGAGAGGATGCCGAAGGGGTTCCTCCAAGAGATGTGTCGGAACAGACACAACCTTCCGCCGACACGGCCCGTGATGAAGCCATCGACACAACAAGGTGCTTCTTCTTGGAGTTCGATGAAGATGGGTTTGCAAAGAAGAAAAGGGAACACATTGAAGTGGACGTCACGAAGATCTTGTCAATCCCTGAAGGTGACATCCTCTTCAACCATAGAACGTTGGACGAAACGTTGGTGCAGTTCATATATGATGCGATCCATCATGCGGCCAAGGAAACCAACGGGAAGTGGGATTTCATGATTTTCATCCTGGCTCCCATTGTGCCCAACAGGGACGGGTCTCAAGGCAGACGAATCACACCGGAGCAATTCGACGTCGAACTGGCTCATACATACAATTGGTATGCTGTTGCTGGCCAGCATACGGCTGAGGCAATGAACAGACTCATTAAAGACAAGTCACCGACCGAGAAAGTGTATGGCTTGAGGTCATACTCTCACGTACGTGTTGTCTACTTTGACGATGATAGAAAGAGAGGATATCCGTACGTCTCGACGTTTGACAACACGAGGGAGGAGCGTTCGATCTCGAGATCGTTTTCGTCATCTGTGCGCCAAATCAGAACATTTTGGGATAAGAGGAATGGTCGGATCCGTCCGCCAGGGACCGTGTCCCCGAATGACGTCGAGGGAATGAAAAGGAAAAAGAAATGGGAGGAGTTCATGAACGCCGCCTGCAAAATTACACCTGATTCCGGTCTCATGAACTCGTCCCTGGAGAACGACTACTGCAAGGACTGGACGAACAAGATGCGCGGATACATGAATCTTGCGCAATGCGGCGAAACAGTATGGCCACTAATACACAAATTCTTTGACATGTACGAGAAGGGGCTATTGCCACGAGTCGACGGTGTGAGATACATCGACCTGCCGGGGAAAGTGGAAGGGAGGCTGCCTGGCAATACTTCCTCAAAGACAACTCTGGCAAAAAAGTCCTATTCCACTGCATCAAGGCCAGGAAGGGGCCAACAGGCGCAACGGTGTCTATACATGACTTGACGCCGACAATCTTCAAGCTGTTCGGCGATATGACAGCGAGAGAGACGCAAGTGGCGCTTCACCACATGATGCGTGGTGATGTCATCGTGACATAACCGTTCGGTACCTCGTGGTAGATGCAACATGGCGGACCTGGTTAAATATACTCGGTGTGAACGATATATGGTCCGTATGTTCAACTACATATTGTTCAAGGCCGAGGGGAGGTCAAAAGAAGAGTGGAGCGCTGACTTTTTCATCGGTTATACGACCATCTTGGAGAGGTACAACAAAAACGGCCTGACGGACGAGAAATGGACCGAGGAACGCGACCGCATCCCTGACGACAAGGCGAGGAAGGTGCCGAGGCGTTTGGGCGGTCCTGATGAGATTAATGGTGAGAACGGTGCGGGACTGGAGGCAACCCAAGGCATGTACAAGGAAACCCCGTTCCACCTTAAGTGTTTCATTTACGAGGCAATCGACTGCTTGGACGACCTGAGAGCGGAGGTTAATCGGATATCCTCCAGTGCTTGTAACATATTTTGGGAAGTGGGGAAGAGGATTACCACGATCCTGCCATTTGAAATCGAACCGAAGGGAGTGCTCACCGACAACGAGGAGGTTGTTGGTACGGCGAGGGGGATGAAGATACGGACAACCATTCTTGATATGTCAACATCACCGAAATGTGTTCCGTGGGATGAGGATGCCTTTTCCAAACTGTACGCTTTCCTCATGACATGCTATGGCGAAAACTGGGCCTTGATCATTTTCGCGCCGATGAAACACCAAAAACAGGTGATGCAGAGTGTGTACAACTGGGATGATGTTGAGGTGCTCACAGGGTCATGGTACAGACACTATACACCTTCAACAACCTTGAACAAGTACGGCAACATTGCAGTTCGGTATACTGACATGATGGTTATTGTCCTCCACACCGAGAACGACAATTTGGACAATATAACGGTTGCGCCGAAATTGCGAGCCGAGTTGACAAATTTGAACGTTGAAGAGGGTGAATTTGTGAGGTGCTCAGGGGAATGTATCGGCGTGGAGGGCGAAACCGACGCGGTTTATTCTTGGATGGAACGAGAGTCAGCACGTCTCCGAAAACTGTGCAGCTCGTTCATCAGGGAGGACGATGGCGTGATGCTGTTGGGCAGGGCGCATGCAGGACAGATTTGGGAACTCGCTCGCGCCGGACACCACGTGTTTGCGTGAGACGACACGACAAAAGACCTCACATACCTTTCCAAGTTTTTGGAGTTTTTCCGAGGAACAAATGCAGGTTCGAAAAGCCCCAAGTCGAGCACCGCAAGGACCGAGACATTTACTATAAGCTCGGCAGGAAGAGGGAGAAAGTGTGGGCTTACTTGTTCGGTGACGCTCCACGGTCGGCGGTTGATAACGACTACGTCATCAGGGAAAGTGAACTCGAGATAGCAATGAACGAGTACCACGGATCGCACATGGGTGCTTTCCACATGTTCGTCGCACATTGTGAGCATCTGCATTTCAATATGAGGAAAAGAGCACTGTCATGCAGAGACTATGCGGACTTGGCACGTAAAGCGGGGAACTTCAACAACATCGATTGTGACGAAGACACGTTAGACTCCGACCTGGACGTTCCGTCGTGTGCGACACGACATTCGGCGCAGGGAGCACGTGCCGAGGAGCCGCAAGGGAGCACCAACGCAGATGCGGAAAAGGCGAGGTCGAGTTTGGGAGGGACACATGCTAGTGAGGGAGACGTGAAACATAGAATGAATGCAAGGGGGGAAAAGAATGATGAACCAACGAACCCGGTGGGTGCTAGTGAGGGAATTATTAACTCACGGGGTAACTTTGGGGGAGGAGAGAATGGGTGTTAAATGACCCCGTCGACAGCTGGACCATCATCGACATATGCACCGCAGGCCGAGCACTGAACGCTCACGTCGATGGACACGGATGAAGATGAAGACATGGATATGACAGCAGTCGTGCCGAAGCTCGTGCCAGAAAAACCGTTACCTCAAGGCTTTGCTCAAGACCCTTTAGTGCCATACTTGCTGCAAGACAAGTACAAAGAGTCATCAGAGGAGGACTGGGGTCATCATATTCTCTGGCATGAGGGCGTGTTCGAACCGTGCATGTTTGCGGGCAAGTGGCAAATGGCTGTGAAGACAAGAGACCGCGAGTGGGTCGCGAAGGAAAGAAAGGACGCTGCGATATGGCACAGCGTGACGGAGACGCAACTTTATTGGCGGGTTGCACAAGAAAATGTCAGTGCAACCGAGGTGGCTGTAGCGGCAAAGGCGAAAACTTTGTTTGAGCATCTGCGTGCGAACAAACAACTAGAATTCAACGCAAAGTTCTACGACCTTGCATGAAGTGTGTCGTACACTCCATCGATTGGAAAATCAAACAAGCGTCAGCAGTGCAAGGAATCGATAGCATCACCTCTTTGAAGACTCAAGACGTCATCGCGTCTAACACCATCGTTGCGATGGCCAGAGGGGATGCAGGCTGTGAAACGGACACACGTGCGAACGCAGGTCACATATAGAATGAACAGTTGCGAGCATGTATTCAACAAAGCACACAGAGAAGCGCAATGGGGGATTCCACTATGATACGCAAGGACGGCGACGACATGGAGTCGGGCACATTGTCAGAGCCGCCAACGCGCGGGGTCAACGATGGGGCAACAATCGTTGGATCTTTCGGGTCTCTTGTCTCGACAATGGCGGCGAGGCAAGGCGTATCTGAAATGATGGAGACCGATGCGGACCAGAATGTTGAAAGCCAGACCGTGAAGGTGGCACCAGAGCAGGTGGCAGCAACAACAGAGAAAACGAAGAAAGGTGAGGGATATCGCGAACACATTTCCATAATAGATATGAGATCGGAGAGTACGGGCGAGGATATGATCCAAGATAACGACCAGAAAGATGACCACGCTGCACCACGAGTGGAAGGTGACGACGAAGAGGACGCGCAACGACCGAGGCGGTCAACGAGAGCAGTAATTAAGAAAATTGTGTTTGATGCGTAGGAAAGCCTTAGATGGGCATGAGCGTTTACACGTTTCAGGTTATATTGATGGTCGCCACAAATCATGATGCGATATTCACCCGGTCCTCACATGGGATGTCTACACATTTCTTGTTAACTTGATAGGTTGTCGCTGGGTACTATGTTAGAAAACTATGTTAGACAGGAATGGGTATAAACACATTTTGGGTTATATTGTTGTCTTAATGGAAGTGTTATTGTGACATTGAAATTCTCGAAACTGTAGTGCCGATAATAGAGGGTGCCCCATCTCGATACGTATGTGTGTGTGTGTGTGTGTGTGTGTGTGTGTGTGTGTGTGCATCTGTGTGAGTAGGCAGAGGTCGACTCGTCACCAACGTTAGGTTTTGTGTGTGGATTAAATTGTATGTGCGTGCTTGGTATAGTTTTATAATAAAGGCATATGAAAACACACTATATGGGGCACTTTGCCTGCCATGTGTCAAAGACACCTCTAATTTCAGAGAACTTGTTATGCCATCTTCTAGCGCGCTGCGAATGGTCGTCTTAACCTAAATCCCCACGAACTTAAAAACAGGAAACCATACTAACAAAATGAAGAAAAGAAAAAAAACACGAAAATATGTGAAACTGCAAGGCTGGAATAGTGAACTTATATTCTAAATACTGCCTAGAGTACTGAACATGAACATCAGAGAACTGATGGAAGCAGGGTTACCGTTAACCACCATAGATCGCGAAAAGTATCATTAATCTATTTACTTTCAAAAAGTACACAAAAATTGGGCAAGAATTGTAGCTGTGTTATGCGCCATATTACGAGGAAGATGGAGATCGGGGTGCTCATGTCAACTGGCTATAGTATCCTGTTGCCAGGATTTAGCAATTGAAATTTTCTCCGCCGTTTCGAGCATGCAAATATGGTAGGCCCCGATCACGATAGCTTACGCTGCGGCATAATGCATTGTCATGTGCAGAAAGGAGGAACATAGAGGAAGTACGAAGATGCAAACAGGGATGAACGATCCACTTAGCAACGGATAAGTTATTGGAGAAGGAGATGGCCGCGGTGCAACATTTACGAGATTTAGTGCAAGCGGAGAATCGGACGGTCTGGACATCCACGTACAACGGGGCAACAAAAGAAAAACTAACACTAACCGGGCATGATTTGAGCTTGATACTGTATCAAGGCAATTGGTTAAACACCGAAATAGTTAACTTTTATTTGAACCTCGTTAGGTTTGACAACATGTGTCACATAAACCATCGCGAGTGTGATAGTGGACAAGACGGAACAGTAGTAGAAGGAAAAGGGCGCATCCCGATAACAACAATTTTTAGTTCCTTCTTCTTCACGAAATTGTTCGACGACGACATGCAATACCAATACAGCGCAGTGAAGAAGTGGATGACAGATATCGATGTGGGGGACGTGGACTTAATAATAGCTTCATTCCATGTCCGGAATTTCAACCATTGGACACTAATAATAGCTGACCTAAGGCGCCAAAAAATGGAGTACTACGACTCGCTTACGCTTGACAAAGAATTGGCAAGGAAAGTGACAGGTGGTTTCGCAAGATTCTTGTTCGAAAGATCGGTTGAACAGGGAAAGGTGGTGGATACAAAAGATTTCAACCACATATGGAATGTGCCAGGCATTCCTAGACAGCGCGGCATTAACGAATGCGGTGTCTTTATGCTAACATATGCGTCACTGTTGGCAAGAGGATTTCTCCCGCCATTCAACTTCTCTTTCACCGACATCCACAATATAAGAGGACGGATCGCTTTAGATGTACTTGTCACACCGAAATAGGAGTTACTTGTGCAACAAATAACATTTGATAGACGACATTATGAAAGCAAAACATTTGTTTATTTTTTACGAATGTAAAGAGATCATTGGCTCTGCTGGATAGACACGCATGAAAATGTCCGAATATATTAAAAACAACAATAACGCGACATGCCCGATTGAATACCATTTCTGTGTTACTTCATATGACCTCGTACCCCTTACCCCTTACCCCTTACCCCTTTACCCCTTATACCCATAAAACACTGCATAAAATACATACACAAATCGAAAAAAAATGGACTTTCAATTTCGCGCAAAAAATAAAAAATGTACGTTTTGACGAAATCGCAATTTTTGAGCGTTAGTCAAACAAACGCTTTGACAGTGGATCTGCTACAGGTTTTTTTTTTTTTTTTTTATAGTTCTAAGATGATTTTGTTATTATACGGACAAGATGGGGTTGATGGGAGCCCGGGGGGGATTGGAAAGAGAATGAAAGGATGATAAATTTACTCAGTATACTGTGTGTCATTCTGGTGGTGCAGACAGAGATTCTTTACCCTCAGACCCCACTAGTGCCAACTTCATATTTTGCAAGAATGAACCTGGTCATACCTTTTGGCCATGTTCATGCTTTGCGAGCCTGAACATAGCACCCGTGGGGGCCTTCAATTGCTGTTTTTTTGGGTACTACCTACCTGGCTCTTTTTTTTTTTTTTTTGAGACAAGTGCGAAAAAAAAAGATGGGTATCAGCATAGAAAGATGTATTGATGTACCTTTTTTGTTTTTGTTTTTTGTTTTTTTTGATGTATTGATGTACCCAATTGGCTAATACTAGAAGGTTGATGCAAAGTGTTCCACCAATTTACAGAGAATTTCATTATTGGTATATTTATGAGACCAATACAAACAAAAAGAGAAGCTAAAAAAAAAAGCTAAAAAAAAAAAAAAAAAAAAGAAGAGAAGCTACATCTGCAGAAAAGAATAGAAAACGTAGTGCACCTAAATAGATGCACACTGCAGGAGCATGGTCCACTGGCAATGGGGATTGGATTAAGATCCTGAATCTGGGCATGTTTTAGGCCGAGATGCAAAAAAGGAGTTCAATCTCGATTATCTGCACTTGTCCACAAACGCGGCCAAATTAAGGCGTTCAATCCAATCCTCGATTTTCTGCCCACTGCTAGTGGAACCTCGTCCTAGGTCTGGGCGAAGAGCAGTTACAAACTGCACAAAAAAACAAAAACTCACTGCACAAAACAACAAAAACTCTTATACCTTTCTCGGCCTTTTGGCTAAGATCAAGTGTAGTATCTGTTCTGATCAGTTTAATTAAAAAAAAAAAAACCATGAGACCACACGATATTAAATTATTTTTTTTGGGCTATGGCTGTCTCTT